ATTTTAATAAGATGGTTTGATGTGTTCAGATCCTATCGTAAGGGGTCAAGCAATTCGGTTAGGAATCTTACTCGAACTATAACATGAGTTGTGATGTAGTAATCCAGTGCAACGGCATGCGCTGGTTCAGTAGTGTTTGGTAGTGCTGACAGCAAACAGGCCCATAAACATGAGAGGCTTTGCGCCTGCAAACTGCTGAACTCCGATTTTGGCATTAAATGGCAATTTCAAGGACTTGTCAATTTGAAGTTTTCCGAGGTTATCCGAAGAGACGTGGATCTAAGAGGTAACCGTTGAGAAAGGTTCCCTTGGACCAAATATTTGAGCCATATGTCACTTTTAGACCTGCACATCAATACTGATGTAGCCCTGTCATCACATTTCCGCTTATTCATTTTAAAGAACGTTTGCAATTAAGTGTCGACAAAAAGCGTTTAAACTCTCTTGCATGAATTTCGCGAAATATTATATTAATAACCATCGTTTTGCCGTGAAATAGGCAAAAGGCGGCGCACATTTATTAGAAATAGACGCCAAGTGAATGTAGAACTCAACTAACAGGGGTTCCAAGTGAACGCACTACTATTTGCGGTGTTTGCCGAGCAATGAACACCATAAGGCCAAATTTCCCATCCCTGACTGCGACTATAAAGTGCTCGTTTTTCCTGTAGACTTTACGGTTACTTGAAAGCCTATGTGATTCGTTAACGCTTGTAAGGAGAGTCATCGATTAGCGATCAAATTACCGATAAGTAAGAACACTTAACCGACGACGTTGGGCAAACTTCAACAAAAATATGCTTCTAGTATTTTGGTACTTACAGTTCACGAAATCGATTCATAATCTGTTGATACCTGTTTAACGAACCCAGCTAACCTAAAAGCGAGTTTCTGGCTCAGGGAAAAACGTGTTTTGAAAACAAATTTGTCGAAACAAACCTAATGTGCATACGCAAGTATTGGGGAAAACACGGTAGACGTAGCAGTTGAATTGGCTATCTGCAGCACAACGTGGCACGCCTAGCCCCACACAGTTGTGACCTCACACGGACCCACTTACCCAGCGTGACAGCACATGATGCCACAAAATCCACCATGGGGTCAATAGTACAAACTCCCTAACCGAAGAGACGGGAAATTGGGTTAAAATATCAAAAACGAGGACGCACAGGGCTAATCCTTTGGGGGCTGGCAAGTTTTTAACACTTGAGCCGCATGGGAGCAGAAAAGCGCTTTGTCTCCATACAAAACAGTCTTCTTTTGGTTCGAATCCTACCTAAAGCAAGATTTTCTGATGAATACGTGCTCGGGATAACACCTCGAGTTTGCCAGAAGCTTTCTTTTTTCTAACCTTATGTGTCAGGCATCGAGTTTCCTAGTTTAACAATGTGAACCCTGTAGAGTGAAGTGAACGCGCTAAGTTTCCAATCTGAATACCATCTTATTCAAAATTTATAATCATAACTCAAAACGGCCAGAAGTCGGTTAAGACATTCTGAAATTGTGATCAGAAAGAACTTATGCAACATCTTTTTAACGACAGACCCGTCACGACCCAATTTCGTTCCAATTATTTGACGAAATCAAAGTCCAGTTTAATCAGGATTTTGTCTGTTGCTGTCAATAAGGACTGAAAACCGCGTCCTGGAAGATTTGCTCAGGCGTCTATCTTTCACAAACTATGCATACTTGAAAAAAAGCATGGTTTTATGGTCACTGAGTCCACCTCAGAAGGGCCTCGCCACGTGAAAACAATAAGAAAGAACACGAACCACAGGTAAATCTCACCCGGATGCATACACAACTCGCTGCCTCTAGTAAAGGTCAAAAACAGAGAAGCACCTCAAAGTGGTAAAATGACACACACACACTGTTTGTCTGTGCTTTCCAAACCAGCATCTAAATTGGACTCAGCAACCGCGTGACAGTATGCAGCAAACGACAGCTCACCTGATTACCAAGAGCGTGTTGTTGGTGTGTCGAAAACGCACAAGCGACGAATTTGCAACCTTGGCCATAAGAAGCTTAATTCCAGATGGTATGCTTGAAAGACAAGCCAGATTAGGTAGAAGTTCAGTATCACCGAGAAGATATATCTGGCAACAGAAAATGGTCACGATGTCTTGTATCTCCAGCGTCGCTACGGTGGCTGATTTCATTCGCTGGTTGATATTCACATGTGACTTTGGTTAATGGAATAAACACCTAAATTCAGTCTCCTGTTTTCGTTAGGTTCGAGGTGTGGATGATCGTTTCTTCCCAACTAATTGCACCACCTTGTACCGCCAATTAGGCACGCCCGAAACTATGGAATCTGGAAGCTGCTGTGGGTTAGATTTCGAAGAATGTCCATGGCAATTTTTTGACGCCTTAACGCATTTGAATCAAAAGTATCACCCAGATTATTCAGAATTGACAGAAATCAAAACCACCCAGCATCTCCAGCACCCCTTCCAGTAAAACACAAAGTTGCTCTTTAATATGCATAAGATGGGCATTGCACTGCCTGATATCAAACAACTGGGGCTCGATGCAAAGGCATCAATGCTAACGGCAACCTCAATCACCACCTTCAATGAAAACCTGGAAGTCGGCACACCAGAATCACTAAGCTCACGCACAAAAAACTGAAGAAAAATCTAACTTGAATGGCTCTACTATTGGTAATCACCTGCACTTGTCTGGGTGAGTCATAAAAAAGTTTGAAAATTAGTAAACTCAAACCATCAAGGCTTTGTGAAATACTTTTGGTGGTTGGACAGAAAAGTTGGCCCAAAATGGAAGGCAAGAATTGTGGTAATCACAACAGAGGAGACCAACCAATTACAAAAATGTTATGAAAAAAAGGCAATTGAACACCGCGGTATCAGGCGGTAGCCGTGAAGTGCTTTGTGATGCTGACTTGCGGGCCCTACTTTGAAATCGTAGCTTAATGGTCCTAAAACCGATTTGCAGATGATGCGCCTACTGAAGAGCCGATTCCAGTACCTTTACTTCTGAGCATGTAATTGAAACAGCTTCAGTTGTACGTTGACCTCAAATGGAGCTTTGGTCCATCAAAATGATTCATGGTGCAAATCCAGCAGTATATAACAATGAGACCCAACGTACCAAGGTTATTTACAAGAGCGAGGTCAAAAATATTGCACGGCTGCTCTGAATACTTTGTCGGTTTTATAAAAGGGGTGGCAATAAAAGAAAAAAAGACGAAAATTGAAGCAAAAAGTGTAGGATATATTCTAGCAAAATATTGTGAAGAGTCGACAGTGAGGGATTCTTTTCACTACGTTAACATTGTGCCGCATGCATCGGATTTCAAAAGCCGACTTCAAACGTTTTACAATCCACTCTACTAAAGCACCAACCACATCAGAGTAGGTACTTCACACTTATCTGGGGATCAAATTAGAACCTGTGAAACGCGATCTTCTTATGTGACGCAACAAAATTGAGAAGAAAGTGATGCTTTCAAAAGGAAAAAAAGTGGGGCCGATCAAATTTAAACAGACCAATTAGCGGATCGATGAACGCTACAACTTTGCAAACCACTCCTGTTTAAATCAACACGCGCCCTGTTTAGACAGCAAAGATTTTGTGCGTGCATAAGTGTAACGACGGCCCCGTGTGCAAACAAGGACTTTAAGTTAGCGAAAACATCGCAGGAAATCCACTTTGCCGGGCAAAAACCAAGCAAGCGAGGTGAGCAAGTGGCCAGGCATAGCTGACGACTTTAATATGTCAAAGTTTCACTCTAGCCATTCATGAGCATCTGCTACAACGCTGATATCCAGACATGCCATTAACGCAAGGCCCGGTATGGACTCGTGTAACTTGCTCGGGGAAACGGGTTATTTTTAAGTCGTAAAGATTTTACTTGTGATAAAAAATATAACTCAAGAACGCACTTAACTATTAAAACGTTACACTAAAGTCGCAAACTTTGCCGGGCAAAAGACTACTTGATCTTGAATAAAGCGATGAAAGTTTCTTCCTACATTCTGGGGTTCGTAGATCTGTTTCAGCAAGTTTAGAAATTAGGAGAAAGCAACTATGGCAAATAGAAATCTCAAGTGTCAGGACGAAACAAAACTAGGTAAGCCGAGTGCAGAGACGTGTTAATACTTCCCACAGATGTAGAACTTTGACTGACATGACTCACCGGCGATATTGTCCCAAGTCCTTAGACTGCAAGTAAATTTTACAAACTTAGACAATTGCTATTTATGAACCAAAGCTAGTCCACACATGATTGTCAACGCCAAGTTCGGTAACACCTCAAATTGTATTCTGCAAATAACTCTAAATGCAAGACGGCCAGGCCGTGAAATCGGAAAACGATCCACAACCAAAGTCCCTCTTCATCGAGTTTATTTGTAGTCACCACTAGTCAAACGAGTCCGAGCTCGGACAGGCATCCTTAATGCAACCGTGGAGCCTAAACACAACTCTACATGAATTAAGCGCATTAAGACGCATCGACGAATGAGTTTTACAGTTGAAGCCTCCGAGGAATGTTCAACTTGCTTCATTGAAGACCTGAATTCCTCTCACGTTATTATAGCAGTTTAAAGGTTTACAAGGACCGAAGTCCCGACGGTTATGCTAGCAACAGCCCCGAGCACCCCTCGCGTAACTATTACTGCTTTACCAATAACAAACCAATCGTAAAAACAAACAGGAACCTGGAAACTATGTTTGTATCTTCCAAATCGAAAAGATGTTATGTACCAATGGGACACTGCGTAATAAGTTTAGTAGCTTAAAGGGGAAAAGATCATCCAAGGACAACGGCGACGTAGAAGAAAATAAGTTACACAAAGTCGGGGAACAGTTTTCAGAGCAGTCAGTGAAATGTATATAACACTGATATAAAATTTCAAACACTACCAACGCGTATCGATGTGGGGAAGCCAGAGAGATATCCAGTAGTGCAGGCGAAGATAAACACGGAGAAACGAAGAAATGAAAAAAGTGTCAGGGTAGTATGAGTGCCAAGCGGCCTATTCGTGGGTCTCGGAGACAATATGTCGAGCCGCCGCAGCAGCAGCTTCACTCTTTGCTAAAGTACAAGATTGCAAAGATATTGTATAAAGATAAATAACTGAATGCATAAGTTACATAAACTCGGAGATTTGAACAAAGGTAAACTTAAAAAGATGATAATAACATGAGGCGGTAGTTTTCTATCCACGCACTCTGAAAAATTCTTAAGTTTCGTCAGTATGGGCAAAATACATGTTTTAAAAGATACGAAACAAGGGGGAGTCTACTTACTAACCGGGAGAATGAAGAAAAACAGCGTGGCTGAAAAATCTAAAATGAACACCTACCTTTGTCTACAAACTGCCCGGCTTCGTCCACAAACTGATCAATCTGGACCTCGTATTTCAAGATGTAAGGTCGGATAAGTTTGTTGTACAACAGGATGGAGCCATTGTATTTGCCAGGAATCATTAAGAAAACCAGAAACACGCACTAAAAGTAGAGTAAACCAATTTGAGACAAGTGTAGGACAGAACATTCGGGAGAAACTGAAAATGAGCTGAACTATCCAGTCTAGAGGAGAAGCGGGAACTATTGCCGGATGAATTGTAGCTACTGTAAAAGAGCAAAGTACTTCACGATCTCGACCGCGGATTATGGATGTATGACGCAGCGGAGACAAAAAAGAGTTAAGTGTATCTAAAAAAATTTCCAAGGAGCCTTTACAAGACAAATGGCTACAACAATCCAGGATAATTGGTATTAGGAACAATTCACGGTATCTTACAATAAAGGGTTTCCTATCAACGTTGGGCTAATAAATTGCACAAGACTCCTCTAAAGTGTAACACAGCAAAATGCAACGCACTCAGACTACATATGCACTGGAAGTGAATTACTTTCACCGATAAACTGAACACGGCATGATCAGAGCTTTACAATTCGCAGGAAACAACTAACCTTCTGGAAAGCGTAGAGTGGTATCCAAAAAAGAAAAATGTCCGTGAACGTTTCAACCAGTGCGAAGGCCGCGTACACAACCCAGTATGTAAGCCATTTTGTGTCGTCATCCTTCTCCATTGATTCGATGGCTTTGATTCTAAGTGGAATAAACGGAAAATAGTATAATTACGAGCAGTATGCAGGATAGACGAAACCGATGAAATTGGCTAGGAACGTGGCGCCCCATCCGATCATTAAGTAAAGGACGATTATTGCGCAGAAACCTGAGGATTGTTTAAAAAGGGACAGGACGCCTACCGTAAACAATATACTCCTTATTTACACCAGTCTTATCTTGGACCTTATTAAGGACGTCAGTCACAGCATTCTTCTCCTGGAGTTTCTTATTTATTTGATCTCTTATTCTTTTGAGATGATCCATGGCCTCAACCAAAGTGCGGGAAGCAAACAATAGGGAAGCAAATGTGACAATGTGATTCGCTAAAACAAACTCCAGTGTGCTGAATAATAAACGCAGACCATTATTAAGTACCAGCTGCTCCTTGGTCATCGTAGTCATATACAAAAATAAAAAAAGATTATTCCATTTTTAAAAAAAAATATTTTTACTTTATCAAATCAACTTAGCAAAAAAGAACGAAAACTAACACGAATTGGACGCCAAACTAGGATCAATTATATGTGATAAACAAAAAAACATTTAGCCAAATATTACTTTAGTGACTATTTCATAGTTGTCATGATGAAAAGTGGTCGCTGACCACAATGTAACTCTATTAAAGACTCAACTATATATAAATAAATTTCGCGATTAAACTGAATTTAAACAACGAAAGATTCAAAAACTTGTTATGTTAATTTAAGTAGACTTTCAGAACGCAAAATGTTAATTAACATATTGCATTGATTCACATTCAATGACTCAGTCGTCAAAGCCTCCAACACTCGTTTCTCCATTCCACGGCGTGCCCATCAGTAACGTGACGTCGACGGTTCATTAGACCCTCTGCATGTACCATCAATACCCGCTTTATTCATGTGGCCTCACAGATGCCTGTGTTTATTTTTACATGTCCGCTAATCTATATCAGTAGACACATAACTTGGTTGAGCTGCCTAGTAAATGGTCCTGCCTGCCATCTCTGGACTTTTATCCGGGGCTTCTTAGTGTGGTAAAGACATTCAACATATTAAAACAGGAAGTAAATTAGTTTAATTCTTTGATTAACACTATCCCTACCGTGTGAAATTTTTAACTTTTGAAGTGCCAGATGTCGACGAAAGCTACGTATTCATTAGTTCTACTTCACATTCATCTCCTCAGTGAGTTATCTAATCGTCTAATACATGACTTTTGTCAATTGTCTCTAAAAAAGTTTGCGGTAATTGCAAACATAATCTGTTATGTTTTGGATTAATTTCCACGTTAGAATATTGAGGGTTTCCATCGAATCTGCTAACAAATTTAAATGCAGTGGTCAAAAGAGTATTAGTGGGTAGTTTGCGTTGAAGCCTGTCGTAAAAAAGTATAACGCGATCTGTAGCTAAAAGTTACTTTTACTTTTTTCTGTACAAGTGCTGCCGTCATATTTTTTTGAACATAGAAATTCTTTACCAATTGTACAGAGCTGGTAATTTAAAATAAAACAAATAGTGCTTTGGTTTTTTAAATAGTCAATACTCAGCTCGCAAATTTTATGGCCAATATCTAGAGGAATCATTCCTTACTGTGAGACCTGAAGCCTCATTCACGAAGCCCATCAATTCTAAATCCTGTTGTTTATATAAGGTTGTATAATAATCAAATCAGCCAAATAAATCATTCGATAGTTGAGGGTGATATTAAAGCTCCACATCCAAATCCATTCAAAAGTTTACAATTACACACCCACACAATATATAAACAACGTTTTGTGGATAAAAAGCGATGGTATGACTTCATTACCATATTTTTAGCTGTTCTCTTAGTGTGAGCCACCAACAGAGTTGCAATTTAACCTGCTAAACACCTAAACGTTAGTTTTCGCATGGGTATGACATTGATGTAGGTGCATTTTTGGCATTTTCCAATTTACTTTAGTTATAAACTGCCACGTCGGAAAATCTGGTAGTTTCCGATTGCTTCAATAACTAATGCTCAGATTGCCGGGCATTGATTATTGTAAACTATCTCTGACTAACATACCGCAAGTCCCATTTGTTGACTCATCTTCAATAGAATAAACGGTCAAATTTGCTATTGGCTATCTCATCTTTTTTGGGGCCACAAGCGATTATCTAACAAGGTTTTGAGGTAATACCGACCTTTTTGTCTGGAGAACCTAACATAACATATGGAAGGATAGCAATTTATACTAATTAAGTTGCGTCAAAAACGTGACAAACGTTGCTTGGTCAGTCTTTCCAAATTATCCTTAACAATATGCAGCCTGTTTCATGACCAAAGTGCAATGATTCTAGTCAATCGAGTGCAAACATTAGAATACGCCCTACAGTCATAATTGAACTGCTAAGACACATCATTATTTAAACAGATTTCCGATTGTAATTTTTAGGGCAAAGTTCAAACGCCGATCACTTTTAAGAGAAATATAATAATATTGAATGTAGTCTAATTTATATCTGAGAAGCTACTGAATAAGTTACGGTACGTGCCCAAAGCAATCTGCAGACAAATGTCTAGTACGAGACAAATCAGAATGGGTAGATTTTACAAACTTAAGAAATGTAACATAGTGATGTAATCAAATTGAGGCCCCGGTATTTAAATAAATGGTTAGTGTTTAACGAATCACAAAGTGCATTTATAATAATATGCTGTCAATCCAAGACTACCATGGTGGTTGCACCGCTTTACGTAGTACTTCGCATCAGTCGTTGTGCTGGGTTGTTGCTATTTATCTCATTTGTTACTCAAACGAGCAGAGATAGAGGATTGGCTGAGCTTGATCCAATATGTCTGCGCTAACTTTTGGATATCTCTGGCCCTCTTTTGAGTGATGACCGACTCTTTGAACCTGCAATCAGGTTGGCTGACCTGTTTTTATATAACTTTTTAGACATTGCAAGAGCTATCGAACTCCTAGATAACTTGCTGAAATGTCCTGATTTACAACCCGCGAAACTCGCTGCGCTTCAAAGAATACTACAATCTGATTTTTTCAACATGGTCAGAGAGGTTTATGAACATATTTACGAAACGGTTGATATGCCAGGATCTGAAGAGGTTTGGCAGTTATACTTTTTTGGTGTGTTTTGGGTTGAGCACTCGATTTAATATTTGACCAAATTTTCAGGTTAGGGCAAGTGCTACGGCGAAGGCCACTGTTGCCGCATTCGCAGCAAGCGAAGGTCACGCTCATCCCAGGGTTGTTGAGTTGCCTAAAACAGATGAAGGACTTGGCTTTAATGTAATGGGTGGAAAGGAACAAAATTCGCCGATATATATCAGTCGCATTATTCCTGGTGGCGTGGCACATCGTCAAGGCCGGCTTAAACGTGGTGACCAGCTGTTGTCAGTGAATGGAATTTCTGTGGAAAATGAGCACCACGAAAAAGCTGTGGAACTTCTTAAGTCCGCTCAAGGTAATACTTCAACATTTATCTACAAAGATTGTTTAATGATGCTTTGTCTAAGAATGTCTTTGGGATACCACATCAAGTATTTAAAGTCGTGTGCAGTAACGTGTTTAATACTTGTCGATCCGTCTCCTCAAATTGTGATTTGGTGCCGCAAAGTCAGCAGATATCTGAATTCTGAAGATAACTACTCTTCACTACATGACTTGCACTCCCTATTTATATTTTTTTTCATGACTTGCCGCATTTAATATATTCTGTAAAATTTGTTATAGGTACTGTGAGACTGGTTGTGCGCTATACACCAAAGGTGTTAGACGAAATGGAGGCTCGGTTTGACAAACAAAAGACCCGTCGAAGGGCCAATTAGAAGACCCTTTCTTTTCCCATATTACGCATTCTCCGTGATAATATCTATAATAGTTTTTAAGTAATGTGACTCGTCCTTGCTTATTTGATTATGCGTTATATTAAGTTAATTTATATCAACTTTGTGTTGTTTCTAACTTTTTTTAATATTCACTGAGGAGCCAGAGTCGGGATATGGAGGGTGGAAATGTAGTGGCTGATTTCAAGGGTCTGTTGTTATACCCTAAAATTCGCAAATATATCAAAAGGCCGTACATGGATGGGAGATCTGCCTCTGCCATTCATTTCTAGGTTTTAGTCTTGCCTCTTTGCCAAGTCGGAATTTCGAGTCAGGTTTCGTGGTGTTCATAAATTTGGCACGTCCAAATGTTATGATCTCACTGTACGGGGAGTTTCTACACCAGATGTTTACCACTGACATCACATTTTAGGTTGTTTTTAAAAAATGAGGAAAATTTCACGGATAAGGGAGAAATATTTTTTTCTCCAAATACTTGCGTCACTCATCTTACTTTTGTCTGCGTCAGTGCTATGTCGACGTAGCCCTCCGTTTCATTAATTTTATCGACGTAAAACCTGGAAATTATTCGTGATGATGACAGTTCGTTTAACTTTGCATGGTGGCAATGTGAAATTGTAGTGGTCTAATTGTGTTGAATGGAAAATTCAAATTATCGATCAATTTTTGCGGCAAATTCCGCGATGAATTGTTTGGATGCCCCAGAAATTCCGACGATTCAGGCGTTTGATGTTGCCACCTTTGAGGATTTCGAGTATTCTACCAACAACGCTGGCATTGAAGACGTTCAGATATGTGGATTTCATCCGATGGTAAATTTGCTTTCTATGTTTGCAAGTCGCGTTGGTGCTTGAGAGGTATTTTGTGCAACTATGGGGTTATTCTAAAGGAACATAACAACCACGTCTTCTAGTGCATTTCACACTCGACTCTAGTGAAGTTGATCAGGTAGAAGACTGGCGTGGTAAACCCGCTGTTGGGGTCTCAGAGGGCTTTGCGCCTTCCAAATTAACTCAGTTTAAAATATCCAAAGTATTAGGACGTTTGAGTCGATGAAAAATGAATTGTACATTGTTTTACTAGGCAACCGCGCCACTTTCAGTGGAGGAACAGGAAGCCTTGTGGGAGACGTTTACTGGGGTATATACCTCTGTCTTCCTATTGGCAATTTGTACTGTCATTGGCTTCCATGTTGGACTTTTATTAAAAGAACTGTGGAAGTCAGGTAAAAAAACCTTCCTCAAGAAAATATTCTTGCGGGCTGGACAGGCTGAGAAATCCCCAGCCATGGGAGACATACTTGCCTTCACACCCCATTACGTCTGGTTCACCAATGGCGATAAGCAGGCGTTTGCCGGTCTCACTCAAGATGACTTCGTCGATTTTGAGCGCTTTGCGCATTTCATCTACGCACAGTCCCATGAAACGTAAATTTCGTTTGCCCTATGCACAACGATAACGCACTGCTGCATCCAGTGGTATCGGTTGCTTCAGATATAAACTGGTCATTACTAATCAAATGAGTGGTTACTGAAGCGAAAATGTCTATTTAACGCAAATAACCACATGTTGTGTGTGTTAAATGGGACTTTTAAACAGTTGGGTTTTAGCACAAGAACCCAATTTAGATTTAGGCTAAAATAATAACCTCTGGTGGGTGACGTCGTGAGGATGCAATTTGACGGGGGTTTCCCCTGACGTGGTGCAGTCTACTGAAATTGAGAAAGGCAGGTAAAATCTGAAAGAGGGGATCTATCGGATAGCGCAGCATCTCTCGAACGAGGAAACGTACAATAAATCGGCGGCACGAGAACTAACAGAACATGTTGCAATGGCCAACGTTGAACATTTCTCTGTAGCCGACTGCTGTTGCGGTTTGCGTGAAATGGGACAACGTGTTTGCTGGGTGTCACAAGCATCCCATTCGGTTCCAACTGGAGTGAAGCAGTTTCGTTTGCTAGGGTTGGTGATAACCAACCGGGGTAGGACGCAACACTATTTGGCGTGCAAGACCCATTTGGAAGACCGATTAAATGATCTGGTGTGATAAATCCGCCAACATTCATGCCAAGTGTGTTCGAACACGAATTCAATTTGTTATCTTGACTGCACTTCATGCAGCAATGTTCGTTTCGAAATCAAACGTCAAGCATTCCCATACGACCTGACGCTTTGCCACGCTAAAACCACGACTCTCTTACTGCACCAATAAATTGGGTGAACCTCGTGTTCTCTACGACCTTCTTCCTTTGTGGTTGGGGCACACCGGAGATCCTTCAAATCAGTATAACTTGAATACAATACCTAATTCACTGTATTGTGCAATTTAGCGGCCTAAATCAATAATGTTTGTGCGCAAACTAAGACACCCAAGGCAAAACCACTGTCTGAGGCGTGACGACACCAAAATCACAGAAAATCTTCTCGAAGAAACCTAGCAACCGCAAAGGCATCTCAGTCTATCCCAACTTAATTTCAACGGCCCACAACACTGAAACGATATTTCTTACCTCTGCACTGTCCGCATTGGCACAGTCTGCGTCTTAGTGCTTCATTCTACACACATGGCACACTCATTTGGTGCAATAGCTGACAGCAGAAAAAGAAAGGCTTTGTGGGATTATATGACCGCAACGCTAGTGCTTCCCTCTACCTGGGTGTATGTAGGACGCCCACTGGAAACATAAGACATTAACGCCAGGCTAGGCAGCACCCGAAAGAACCTCTCTTCACATTTGTGCTTTACCCCACTGCCAATCACTGATTGAAACGCATTCCACAAGTCACCCTGACATTTTTAACAAGACCATTAACAAAGACATTCATGCATTTGTCGAGTAAAGAAAATGAACTAATCATAAGCGTCACACGATTCGTCGAGAAGATTATACGGAAAGACATTATTTTGCACGCGATTAATCCACGCCACAGTTAAGCGGCATCGTCGTCACGAAAGTCGCCGTAACGCCAAATATTTCTACGGCCACGCATTGCACTTTGTTGGGCCTCTGAGTAACGCACACAAATGTCACTTGGCATACGAGCACGTTCCATGTAAACCAAGCCGTTGCTGAGCAATTCCTCGCCGACGTCAATGACATCGGAGGCCGAATCTGCAGAGCCTGACGGTTCATTAGGCTGCTTTGAGCACACATACACCACCGCGCTGTGAACCGGGCGGTTGTCGTCCTTCCCACAAGGTGTTGCTGGACCCGGCACTGGGCTCACCCGAATCTACAGCGAAAATAGACAAGTCTACACATGCCACATCTCAAATTCAAAGGTTATGAAGGAGACTGCAAGTCTGAAAGCGAGAACTCGCTAGTGGGAGAACGAATGAACCACGCTTCCATGCAACACCTCAGCAATAAAAGTTCTACATCGAGAGAGAATACCTCACTACACCCCTTGTATTCCAGAGCCCAGAAATTGCTTTTCACATTGCACAACTCACATTTACGTCACCGATCCTTTGCGTGAGATATTCCAACGCCGCCTTACGATCGTCCGAATCGGGTGGTAACTGGACATAAGCCAGACGATAAGGCGTGGCAACGGGCTCGTGGCCTTCGAGGTTCTTTGGTAGCGCGGCCAGTCGTGGCGCACCAGCAACACCAGTATCGACAGATTCTTCATCACCGAAGTCAATGAACATTATAGTCACAATCTTTCCGGCAACACGCAGGACGCGAGCACGATACCACAAATTGTCCTGAGAGTACCGAGCTGCGCAAATCGTGCCGCGTTTGGGCTGAAACTTTGTCGACGACATTGTCGACGCGAAATCGGGTGAATTCAACTGACGCTTCATTGATTCTAGAAGTCCAATTCGACTATCCAAATGCACAAAAAATCGTAGTCCATCGCTTCCAGC